CTCCCATAATACCTCTAATATATACATTTAAATGTTCTCAATGACACACTGACAGGTGCAACTGAAACAGAAATGAGAAAACTGCCAAATCCAAACCAAACTAAAATTCTTCAATTCTTTGAGAACAAACATCTATTAGTCTACAGTATTTTAACTTCATTGTCTGCAAGACCAAAAGCAGATACTTGCCTTTTAACACAGTTTAGTGCTAAATAAATCTGAGAGGAGTATTCCCAGGATGACAGTCTTGTTTGAGTTGCTGATTGGCTGGCACTGAAATTTGCCTATCAGTCTCTCTCCATCACATTTCTCATAACTTTACCTTCTAAGAGAGTGGAAACATTTTACAAAATGAGAAAGAGGGAGAAATAGTATTTTTTTTCACTACCATTAACTTGGTGACTCAAAGACAACTCACACAGAACACCTAAGAACACAACTTCTGCTATCAAATATGCTCCTAGTAATGTCACCCAGGGGACATGGAGACAACATATTTTTTGAAAATTACAATCCTCTAATCATCACAAAGAACTTATGACTCCTTTGGTGTTCAAAAACACCCTGCAGACAACAGAACCTGCTGGTGATTTACTGAGCAGATTCTCTGCTTTTGAGAAAGCATCTGAGCAGCTCCCACAAGGGAATAAATGTCCAGCTTTGCAGCTCAGCAGAACATAAAATTGTTATTTAGAAACCACTGTAGCATGTACCTGTGGCCTACAGTATGAGATAAAAAAGTACTTAGCACAGCAATTCCTGAAAACATTCACCAAGTTGTGTTTATACCATTCTTGCATGCATTTTTATCCAAACATTTGCAGTGCCAATGCAAAAGAACCAGCAAAGTGGGATAATTCTCTGCACAGCTACCAAGTGGGGTCTGTGTTTAGGAGCTTCCCATGTCCAGACTTTGCTCACAGGTAACAAACATTGTGTGGGCAGCTGGAATCTAGCCACCACTTCTTTGTGCAGGGTGGATGTAAAACACAGCTCAGGTTAAGATTAAGATTATATTCCAGATTTACAGAAGGTTTGAGGTTGGAAGGCACCCCTGGGGATCACTGAGCCAATCCCACAGGGCTGCCCAGGGCTGGGTCCTGCCAAATGCAAGCATGGAGTGTCAGCAAGCTCTGGGCAAACTGCTGGAGGGCTCCATCTCCTTCACAGTGGGGAAAAAAGGATTTTATTACTTTCCCTGCATTTCAGTTTGTGCCCATTATGAAGACATTGGAAATAAAATCTCTTCTACAAAATTAGGACAACTGATACAGAAACCAGAGATACAGAAAATTGAACCATCACAGAACTTCAGAATTCTTTTTCCCAACCTTTTAAGCTTTCAGCTTCTTACAGATTGGAAACATATAATCTATATAAAGGTTGAAATTGAAAGACTCAATAATACAGTCCAAAGAAATGTGATTCTTGTTGCCAAAGATCCCTCCTGGTTTTATATATATTTACAGAAAGCTAAGAGTGTGTGATAATTTTTCATGTTGATAAAAATGTGGTTAAAACACAACTGCACTTGTTGTAACCAGCTTTGTTTATCCATAGTGAACCAATAAGTGGAAATAAATGTTCATTTAGTAAGTATTAGCAGGAAGGCCTTCACCAGCCAGCAGATGTAGCAATCTAACTCAGCAGTGCCAATTCTTGATTTAGGTACTGCTCCACGTGGACTGAAAATTTATCTTCTGATGTCAATTTTATTACTGCAAAGAATTTCTTACTCAGCATGTAAACTGAAAAATTAGCAGAGTCAGAATCTATTTTTTATATTAAGACATAAAAGTGGACTCTATGGAAAACTCTTTGACCAATCCTGTGACTGAGCCAACACAGAATCAAAACTGAAAAAGATACAAACTGAGATTACAAGTGGTAGAGACTGACAAAAGAAAAAATACATCAATGACAGTTCACAGCACAAGGATTCAGAACAAGAGACACTTCCACGAGTCACAAGGAGCATTTGATACCTTGATGGGAAGAAATGTAGCAAACCCATCACATCATTGTACTGCAAACTGTTAGCTGAGTTTCAAAATAAAAAAAAAAAAAAAATCTCTTTCCTCTGTAAGAGTGCCAGGCTGTTTATGCATATCAAGACTGTAATTTTTTCTCCCAGACTGAGGTACCACTACTGCCTACAGCACAGTCCTAGGACTAACAACTCAATGTTTTGTAATTACTCCTTCATTGATGCAACTAACTGTACATACATTTGTGCTACAGAGAAAAATTAAATATATCATAATTTCTGTATGTATTTACAGTGTTTTATCATAAAATATTATTAAACCTAACAGGATATAGTAATTGCAAGTACAGTACAAAGGTTACAATTGATTAAAGTAATAAACAATTCACAGACTCCAAGATATTTCAGATCTCCTGTTGATGAAGCTCAAAATCCATTATGGAAAGACAATACTGGAGAAGTTGGCAATCTGAAGTGGAACTGAAATGCATTTTCTTTCAGATGCTTTTTAAATCCCCAGAAGTGCCAGGTCATGACTCTCAGATAATAAAGGCCATGGAGAGTTCAAATAGTCTAGAAATGATGGCACTTTCAGACACTGATAGAAGGAGCACATTTTAGAAAGGTTCTTTTTATTAATTTAATGCTGCTGCTGTAGCTGCAGAAGAGTCTGATATCTCAGTAGTAAAATGCATTAAAAAGCCATTTTGTCTGCTGCTGTAGATGAAGAATGTAGTTATTTTGCTCAACAGCTGAATTTTTCCAGAATCCCACTAGTATTCCCTGAGAAAACTATCTACTCTAGCCAAGAGAGAATGCTGATACACATGTTATATAAGAAAAAGTTCTCAGGAAATAATTCACAGATACATGTAGGAACAGAATCTCTGCCATAATGTCCAGATATCACAGAACATTCCAGTCCATTGTCTCATGCAATGTGTTAAGAATTATGAAATTGCCAAATTTAAAAAAAAACTTCCAAAAATAAAGGTTTTTTGCCACCTGTGGAACACCCACACCAGGGTTAGTAGCAGTGCAGTGCATCACAGAGGTGTTTAGGAATGGGTGACAAATGGTGTTGGCCAATTTCTTTCAGCAAATCTCTCTCTTTAGAGATAACTGCATCATTTTGTAACACAATGCTTCACTAACTAAATTGTACCCATAGAATGCTGGAACTTAAATGTGCTCTCAATAAAACTTTGCTCTTTCTGTGAAATTGATTGACTCTCTCCCACATTTCATTTATTAGAAGAAATAGAGTTGGAGGGTTTTACAACAGGGACATGGTGCTCACTCAGACTTGTGCAGCAGTGGCAGAACCCATTACAGGGATTGTGATTTTAATCTGGTCCCTGCAGGTCCCCACACCTGGCACTTCTTTTCATGAACAGAAACGTGAGACCTAAATTCTACCTACACACTTAGAAAAGAGATAAAACTAAGTATCAAAAAGCAATTGTTTAGGGCTGAGGAGTAAGAGGACACTTCTCTCCCCTCCCGCTTTAGACATAAGTGGCCAAGAGATTATAAATATACTGTTCTGGAAATGGAATTTCTCAGAACCAAAAAATAGTGTAATAAACTACTTCTGTAACAATAGTGTACTAAGATTTTTAAAAACCCACAAAAAGATGAGTATAATGGCATTTACAATTACACTTTACAATTGCAAATGTATTTGATATTTGCCCCTCTCTTCTTTAAAAAACAAAATCAATTACAACATAAAAGATAATTTATTTTAAATTGCTCCAAAAAAAGCTACACATGGGCACCTCAACTGGAACTTTAAACCATCTCCATCTCTCAGCTCTTAGTCAAATTCTAGACAATAAGTTCTTAGGGAGCAAAAGGCAAGTCTCTTAAGAAGTTTTCCCCACAAACATCACTTCATTTATAACACCATCAGCAAGATGTCTCATCAAATTGATTTCAAATCCACAGAAAGATTGGAAACTCATGAATGCCACAAAATGCATCTTGGCATTCTTCCACTCATCTATTACATTTTCTAATAAATAGAGCTTTCTTGAAATGCAATTTCAACTTGAAAATCTGACACACTCTACAAAAGACCAGGCAATAATACAACTAAATATGTGTGCTGTGATGAAACACATTCATTTGAAATTGGTCTTGAAGCTGCAAATGAATCCACCCATGGGTTCACAGGCATGGATGCACAATCCCTGTGCAGAGGCTCCTGGACAGCAAATTTCACATGAGGACTTACTGTAAATGAGTGTTCAACCTATACTTAATTTGTACAGGTGTAGGGCTGACAAATCATAACACTGAAAAATTACCAGTGAAAGAACACGATTTTCAAAAACAAATTTTCATTAGTATTTTTTCCTAAATAGTTTTAAATATTTACAAATACATGAAGAAATGAGTTTAAAGGGAAAAGGGACAGCTTTACCAGATTATACCTCTTGTGTGATGGTATATCAAAGTTTAACAGACAACTGTTATTTCTGGACATATTCAACTTGAACATTAATGAAATCAAACATGCATCAGCAGACTGCAAAATTCAGCTAAAAAGAGCTCAACAGCTTGATTCTTTTATTAGGTTAGTAAGGACCCTAATAGTGCTCTACCCCCATCCAAAACAAAGATTAAAAAATAATAGAAACCCCACAGAAGCAAAAAAAAAAAAAAAAAAACCAAAAAAAACCCCCACAAAAATAAGGAAGACCAAATAAAAGAAATTGAAAATACCTAATGTTTAAAGAGCATGTATGGATGTAGATTTTAAAATCATTAGATATTTCTGAACGCTTTACACTGTGATTTTCATTCAAAATCCCCATTTAAATAAACAAAAAAAAAACTATTTCTCATATTTCTTTAAATATAAAAAAGCACCTGCAATCTGAACAGGAGCCTTCTATTTTTAAAAAAGCACTGATTTTAAGATTTGGGAGATGCTGGCATTATATTTTAAATTAATCTGTGATGAAAAAAAACTTACTATTTTCTTGAGTACTTGACAGATACTTACAGAAAAAAGGGCATCAGCTGAATAAGTGTCTCTTTTTTGGGATTGGCTGTGAATTCTGGCACAGTTTGAATAATTTTGTTCATTACATTCCTTAGGTAATTTTGTAGCTGCTTGCGTCGCTCTTCCACAAACTTTGCATCCTAAAAATAGAGAGGAAAAATATAAATGGCACAAAGAACATGTTTCTCAACTTCATCATGTAACTAAACAGCCCTGGTAAGCATAAAAATCAGTATTTTTAAGATCTCTGTTATTATGGCTATATAAATATGTTGGCAATATGCAAAAACCCCTTGACTCTGTCCTTAGAGATAAAGGAAAATCATGAATCCTAATAAAACCTGTGTCACAAAAACATCCACTGACAGGATGTCAGATCCTCTCCCTGGCAGAATCTGTCTTCTCTGGACCATAAACCACTGCAATCTTAGAGAGGCAGAGCAGCACAGAGGCTGTGGCATAAAAATTTATGCCATGTTTTTTGAGATCCAGAATCACCAGTCTTTGCAGGAGGAAATGCTGACTTACTCCCACAATGTCACCCCAATTCACACTTTTCAGATGTTGGGTTCACAAACTCCAGAATGGACAAGTATTTGTCCAGCATTTTTATGTCACTAAATTATAATTTTGTGATGATGTCTTCATATAGTAGATTTTTTAAAATATTATATCACAACTCTCATTAAAATGCTTTACTGAAGTCTCTGGAGCATTTTACATCCAGGATTTTATACTCTGTTAGTCCAAATAAATAGAATAGTTCTATAAACTCCACATTCTGCTGATGGACCTAGAAGTGAAAAGTTTATCAGAACCAGCAAGATGCCAGGCATCCCATAAGTTCCATGTCATTGAAACCTTTTCCCTGTGAGGGATGACAATGACATGGACTATAACATAAAGGTGCCACATTTCCCAGGAACAGGGAGCTCTCCCAGGTTCACACTGCCACCAGGTGCTGGATGCTTTATGCTCTGTCTCAGGCAGGCTGGCACAGCTCACCTGGTTAAATGGCACAGGATGTTCTGCAGGCACAAAGCCAAACCTATTATTAGACAGCTACAGCTCTCAAAAACAACCATTATCTAAAAGATGTGTCTATCCAACCTGTATTATTTATGTCTGTAAGAAAAGGAATTGAAATTAATTCTTGTTTCTCGGGGGGGGGGGGGGGGGGAATGAACCAAGCCACCAACAAAACACCATAAATACATTTGACAACACTGAATAAATTCATTGTATGGAAAAGGTTCAGCCCATGCTGCCATGCAGGGGATGCAAATCTGAAGGTTATTGCTTCCCTAGATAGAACAGAACAACACCATCAAAGCAGGGATCCTCCTTCAAGTTCAGGAGGAATTTGCTGTAGCATTCCTAGAACCTTCACTAACATTCTGTTCTGTTCTTCCCTCTCATTAGAAGTTACCAGGAACAGGCATATTTTTAGGAATAACAAATCACACATAATTGTAGGGACATAACAGAGTAAGATGTAAGAAACTGCTGAAGACATCCATACTTACAGACTTCAAAAACTTAAGCAGTGCTTAGGATGTTTAATTAAATTGATGAAATTCCAAAACATATACAGATTAATTTTAATTTTGTTTTCTACATATCAACTTACACAGATGTCCAGTCCTGTTTTAACATTCCAGTTCTACATTAATACATTCATTTAATGTATTAACGTAATGAAAAATTAATTAATGTATTCATTAATCAAATAAATTAATTCAATGGAGATCTAAGTGAGAATTTTAAAAAATTATATATTATATACATTGCTATTTCATTTTTATCAGTCACATATTCTTCCAGCAACATACACGCCAGCTGTGTTGCAAGTGATTTGAAACTCATCCTTTATTAAACCAACAAAGCTGTGGTGCTGGAAATGCCCCCAGGCCCCTCTGCAGGGTCACCTGCCCAGCTCCCAGGGGCTGCTGGGACAGGGCAGAGCAGAGCCTGCTCCCTGCCCTGCTGCAGGAGGACACATCTGTGCAACTGAACCTAGACAAACTGCTGGGAACATTAAAGCAAACATTTTAATTCATGATGTCACATTATATTACCAAAAAATGGAACTATAATAATAAATAAACGTGTTCTTCAATGCTAATTAAACAATTAGCATTGAATAGCACCTATGTAACTACTATTTTTCTTTTCACTAAGAGTTTTGTTCCCACAGGATTTTTTGGTGAGGCTCAAGGAACCCTTGTGTTCCCCTCTCTCCTCTCTGAGGATTTAAAGCCCCACATCACCCCACTGAAAGGACACTCCTTTGCTGCCACCAGCTGCATGGGCATGAAGACAAGACAGGAACTCGTGGGAGATGTCTGGGAAGAAGACAAAGTTTGTGGAAGAGCTTTGGTTCTGGAAGCTTTAACCACATGAGCAGAGGGGACATTTGGCACCTGAGCCCCTTTCAGATGGAGCCCCCTGCCCCAGGTGCTGCCAGGCTGTGCCATGGGCAGGACAATCCTGCCTTGCTCCAGGAGCCACTCCCAGCTCAGAGCCCTCCCAGAGCTGCCTCACCCTCAGTGCGCTTCTTCATTCTATTCCATAGCTGCTGTCAGTTATGTTTTCACAAACTCATATTTTCACAGATTCATAAAACCTCCATTGTTAAATACCACATTCCGCAGCTTTTTCAGTTCTGAAGTTTTTTTGGTCACAAATCTTCCACAACAGTATTTTCAATTCTGAAATTACTTCAATTATGTTTAAGTTTTCTCTTACGCAGAAGTTGCATTCCTTTAGTATTATTTCTGTACTGCAAATGTGTTTAACAAAAAACATCTTTCACAGGAAGGACTTTGCTATAGACACAGGAGCCAAATGCTGAATGTAGGTACTTTCCATCCCTTATGTTACTCCAAAGAGTCTCCTTGACTACAGAAAACAAAGGACTTTTCTAATTAAGACTGTCAGGACATGCTTAGGGAAGGCACTTTTTGCTGTTTACAGCTGAACAAATTAATGCTCATAACATGGCTATTTTTCTGCCATTTGTCCAAGAAAAAGGCAGAACGCCCCAGAAATAAAAACCCAGCCTGAAAACAGTAAAATATGTTCTTTTACTCTGACATGAATTTGATCTGTAAAACAAACACCAAGCAATCTACCATGAAATTCTGTACCATGTACCAAGGCTCGTTGTCCTCACCAGAAGCAATGTAAAGCAAGGTCAAAATGATTCAGCTCCAGGTCTGCACTTTATCATTAAACGTGCATTTTGCAACAGCAGGTTGGCTACTCAGAGCAATGATTTTAGCACAGAGCTGTTACTGCCAAGCTGTTGCAGTAATAAAGAGTTTTTGTCACAATATAGTAAACAGAACAACTGGTAACAGAAAAACACAACTGGCTCAAAGCCTGGCCAATTTTTTCAGTCTTAAATTACAAAAAGGTACCTATAAACTTCTTTTCATTGGGCCCAATTATCCCCAGCAGAAATCTAGATAGTACTTTATACATTCTAACTCATAAACAAACACCTACTTTTATTTACAAGCAAAAAATACAGGGAATTTTTTTGCTGTGGGTTTGTATCAGTGACTCCCACCTCCTACTTTTAGTATACATCTTTGGTGATTGTATGAGTCGATAGAAGCCTACATTTGCATTTGTACTCACACAGAAAACAGCAAAGATCTTCCCCTAGGGTTCAATACACACATTTACATACACTTGATGTGAATGTATTTTGAGGACAAAGTAATTTTGTTGGAATTATCAATATATTTGCAAGAAACCTTTGCATTTTCACATTATTAAAGGTTAGATTTCATCGTTTCATTTTTAGGGAAACAAATACATACACAGAAAGATAAAGCAGCAGTACTTAAATAAAGACCCACTTTTTCACTGAAGTTTTTTAGGCATATTTTCTACAAAAATAAAGGTGCTACTGTTTCTGCACTAACTAGAGTGAAAGTAATTTACTAACCTACAGTTCAAGAGCACATAGTTTTGATTAAGAGACCACAAAATTTCAGTTAACAAGCAAAAAACTTCTTCAGATTACAGAAGCATCAAAACACATCTGGTAAAATATTTTTAATCTGCAATTCATGTCTCCCAAAATGTTGTATGAGCTTTCTTTTGACTGATAATTTGCCACGTCTCTTCTGCCCATAGCAAAATGCTAGTATCAAATTACAAATATCTAAATATTGTAATAGATAATGGAAAATTATAGAGTCTCAACATATATTAGAAGATGCTGTTAAGGTGTAAAACAAAGAAGCAGAGTCTTGATGCACCATATTTTTTATCATGTTCTTTTGCAGTTTTTCATTACAAGCCAAGTTCATTCCCACTTGCAGTTGAAATTGTTTCACACAACTGCTGGTCTTTTATACACACTGCTAGTATGGAACAGATGGTGAAACACTGATATTCTTCATTATTAATGGGACAGCTCGCTTAAGATGTTTCAAATATTTTCCAGGAGCTTTTGGAAATGCTATGATTGCCATGGTTACCTGCCATGATTTAGGGACAGATAAAACACTTTTAGATTCTGGGCTTGGTGCTGCTGCAATCAACATCAAACTCACTGCTCCTGAGGTTCTAACCAACACTTAGCATTTTACCAACCTCCTGCTGGTAGCACAGGGGAAAAGATAACCCAAACAAAACCAAACAACAAAACAGCTGAGGGCTCAACCCAACTCCATTAAGATAAAAGGAAATATGAAATAAAAGGAAATATGGCTTTAGGACTTTAATCAGCCTCTGATACCACTCAATGCATCCCATCCTAAATGAAGCTGACAATAATGCTATTCAAAGTTGAACCTGCAAATGCAGGAATAAACTCAGGTTATTCTAATGTAGCCTAATCTTTTCCATCATTTTGGCCAACCAGTCTTAGCAAAATTATCATATCAGTTTTTATCTATTTATGAGGCACCAAATGCTAACCTCAAAATGAAGCTGGCAATCAGAAGCTGAGATGGGAGCTAATTAAATATTCAATTGCTGAGTCATTCTCACTAGTTGTAATTAAAAGTTATATAGCAAATATTCACTTTACAGACTGACACCTTTACACAGATCACAGTAAAATAAAACTTCAGTACATCTGTCCTTAAGTAACTATTAAACATAGCATCATAAAACTTTT